GTGCAGAGAGAAACCACTGCACGAGTAGTAGTTAAAACCCCTGGCTTTATAGACGTATAGTCGTATGGTTGAATGGTTGTATAGTTGTTGGTTATGGCACTTCGGGCCGCACGCTGTAAACTATACATGCGTTCGATGGATGCATAGTCGTATAGTTGTAAAGTTGTACAGTTTCCTGCGTTCTGATTGGTCAAAACCTTCCATTCATCGAATGGATGTATAGTCAGTCGTATAGTTGTCATGAACATGGCATGTTCCGCCCGCCATACGCGTCACCACATGTTCATCATGCACCAAATCCCATGGTTGTGCACGCAGTGCTTGCGAACCCTTTCTAGGTCCTTCACTTTGTTCCAATTCCCTTCAAACTTCGTAGGCATAGTTTCGAGAATCCCTTTAAAGGGATCACACTAAAAAAAAACCCACTACAACTGATACTTAGAACAAATTACATATGGATGGAAAGATTTTCTCTTGAAAAGCACGAATAATTTGCTGAAAAATCATATAGATATCATGGAAAGGCGTAAAATGAAATCGTCCAAGACCCTTCTCAGACCCCTGAACGTAAGCTAAACACACGAGCTAGCGAGTTCTGAATAGTGACGTCACATATTGGACAAACACAGCCAGCTAGATAGACTTGCACTCGTTAACCTATACAGAGTGAGTCAGGAAAAATGTCCCACTTTTTAAAAGTTGTATTGTTAGAAGTATGAATATTTAATAATGGGTTTCATGATATGTCATGATAGAGCTGTCCTCCCAGTATATGTAACTACCATTTTCATTTCAATCTCTGCATGCATGGCTGAACATAAGACAATCTTTACAAGACCGTGACTGCCAGATCTCACTTGCGCCAAGTTACGGGGTGAGGAATAAAACAGTGCATTGGACAAAGACAGTCAGACAGACAGACACACAGACATAGACACACACATACACTCACACACGCACTCACACACACTCACACGTACGCTGCCACGCACACATACAACACACAAGGTATTTATTGTTTCATAATTTCCCCTTTTCTGTTTGCATTGATTTTTATCAAGATCGCTGAATGTTTAAAGTGGCATTTCCCTGACAATCTGTTTCCTTTTACACATTCACTACCACCATATCATCATCATTGTCATCATCTTAATCTTCATTGTCATCATCATCATCATGAATTGCACATGAATCCAATGTGCTATCTCAATATGTAGGTACATTAACAATCGTTGGCTATGTCTTTTGTTGGTTAACAATGACAATTTACAATCTATTTCTGTGCTTTTGTTGATTTGACAGCAGTTACTTGAGCCTCTTTTTAGTAGCAAAAGTACACAAATTATGGTTCTTTGTTCAACACACTATTTTATTCCTCACCCATTAACTTGGCGTATGTGAGATCTGGTAGTCTTGTAAAGATTGTCTGATGTTCAGTCATGCATGCAGAGATTGAAATGAAAATGGTACCTACATGTACTGGGAGGATAACTTTATCAAGACATGTCATGAAACCCATGATTAAATATTCATACTTCAAACAATACAACTTTTAAAAAGTGGGACATTTTTTCTGACTCACTCTGTACCGTCAGACCGTAAGCAAAAACATGGCACAGTTCTCGTTCTTCCTATCTGCTCAGGATTAATTTCATGACAATGAATTTGTCATGAATATTGAGCTAGAATAATCAAAATTATAGTGTACTATTCAATAAGTAGTGAGTGATGTTTTAAAATGTGAAAAACACGATCACCATAGCCATCATGATCGCCTTCACCACTGACATCATCACCATTGCCACCATGACATCACCATAACCACCGTCATCATTATCATCATCCCCATAGCCATCATGATCGCCATCACCACTGACATCATCATCATTGCCATCATCTCCACCGTCGACATCACCACCATCATGCTCACCACCATCACAATCATCATCATCATCAACCTATCAAAATGTGTCATTGCTTGACTATTTATCTTATGTTCACCTTGTGTAGGTACTATTTTTGGATGAAATATAAATCTGAAAACATATCTTTTAATAAGATTGTTTTTCTTTTTGGGGGAGTGTTATTGAACAGGTCTGTGTAATTTACATTTCTTAATCAACATTCATGCTAACTTACCCAGAAGAAACCAGCTCTGGTTTCTGCTGAATAGCCTAGTTAACAGACAACGGTTAACCAAAAAAATATTATTAAACCTACTACTAATAATAAATGAAGTAGGACTAGGAATAAAATTTATATTTTTTGATATTTTATATTTTATTTTTAAACTGACTTTGACATTTGAGACCATCAGACGCATCAAATAGGTCGCTTAGAATAAAAGTATCATTAGAGTAAAAAATTGTTAAATTGTATCAAGGTTCAGTCGGTTTTCTATTAGAGATAAAGACCAGTTATGGTCATGCGATTGCATTGTGAAAGAAACGTTTTGGAATCGATCATAAAAGGTTGATCATCTAACATATAAGTATTGGTATGTACTGCAAGGTTCTGGAATCATCAAAATGATAAGAAATTTGGCCTAGTATTGGTAAAGTTACAAGCACTGTACACAGAAAGATGTATGGGACTACGCGAAACGTGCGCGACACCTGCGCCTATATCTATCAGGTCCAAATAGATTTAATAAATTACCCAAAAATATCAATTAGTAGGCGGTTTTTTCGGCAAAATTTGTATCATCAAAACACATTCTTTCACATGATTGGTAAAAAGAGCTTCCATTCCATTTTTCGAGAGGGGGTGTTTCCAAAACTGGTCGTTACCTTTAATAAAATAAATGCTTTTTTCGTGTGAAACTCCGGAATGCCACCTTGTAAGTATCAGAGATAGGTTTTTTCTTTTTAAAATAAACAAAGGCATGGAGTCCAGCAATTGTTGATCCAGGAATGTAATGGAGACTGATGTGTGATGTATGTGTCTTTCGAGAAAAAAAATTGTCAATGTTCCGCAAGTTTCGATGGTGCGTCAGTGTGTCTGTCAGAAAGAAAAACAAACAAATGATAAGAAGGAATATAAAAGGGCTTAGTTGAAGGTATGGGGATTTGAAAAGATCTGACCAAAGTAGCTAGCCATTTATGGCACACAAAACTGGCTTGCATTCAAAATTATTTTAAAAATGAAAGCAAATTACAAGTGTCAGATTCATAAAGTTTACCCTTCATGTTTCCACATGTGCACAAGTTGTAAAATGTAGTGTTTAACTTTGACTTTTAATGTTAATGCTGCTTTGTTCATGATCATAATACAAATCGCAAAAAGGGAAATGCTGCTTATTTCTACGGCTGGTTGTAAAGTTTGAGTGACCAGAAGGTAGAACCAAAGTTTAAGAATCCCTAAATTAATATAATTAATTATCATGTAATTTGTAATTATAATAATAATAATAATATCCATATCAGCAGGCAACCTCAGCTCAGCCCAGCTCAGCTCAGGATTCCAGTTCTTTACAATGTGGTCACACCCCTTGATACTTATCTAAACATGCTTAAACCCTTGGAAATATACTTATACAAGATATAAAACATATCATTTGATCTAGATTTATGATAAATAGCAATGACTAATGAGCAGTCGATTTATTTACATTGCTGTCGATTCGCGACAACAAAAACAAACAAACAAACAAGCAAACAAATATACCAGCTTCAAGAGAGAGATGAACATTTAAATATGTAGATATGTCAATACATTTCTTTGAAACTCACCAATTATCCGTATTTCTTGGGTCGAGACGAGTAACATCTCTGTTTACCCGAAAGCCAACACCGTCACCTGGAGCAGGTATCGCTGGCCCTTTCTCTCTCAGGCCCATCAGTTGCAGCCTCTGGCTCGTGCTGGTAGGATCGCGGCATTTGGTCTATACCATCATCGTCGAGTTATTCCTCTTCTCCTTCTGCTTCAAGCTCTCCTACCTCCCCATCATCATCATCATCACTGTCACTAATTTCAATGTCCATACTAAATAGTTCGATTTACTCGTCTACACTCTACAGCCGACATTTTGATCTCAAGAGTATGCTTCGAATTTTATAAAAAAATGGAGTCGCGTGTATTTACAATGTATTATCATATGCGCGCGAGTCTAGCATTCTGCAGCTAGATGCTTTGTGGCTAGCCGTGGACCGTATGTGACGTCACAATAGTGACGCTCTACGAAGGACCGCTGAAGACATGAAATCTGGATCTCAAAAATAACATTTTTGAGAGTTGATTACTGCGGGCCCCACAAATATTTTAAAGAGAGAAGTTGTTGTATTGATCATTAAGGCCTCCCCTTCGCAATGATATGAATTTTGCATTAAATCAAAGCACTTTTGATTCTTGGAGTGACTCATTTAAGGTCACTGTATTCTTCGTTCTCTGGAATCTGCAATGCGTGACCGTCCAGGTTCCATTTTGTCCTTTTCGGGCCGTTTTGGTGACCTTTCTTTCGCCCTATACCTATCTCCACTATCACAGAAGCTACATACTTCTTACAAAGAAGCTCTTTCGTTTGAACCGTAGAAACACGTGCATCATTGCACGCACATCGTTGTGACACGATTGCATGTCTAGTTTTGTTTTTGCTTTTGTTTCCCCCCTCTATTTAGGCACTTTTTTTTATTACCTTCTAAAACAACAATATGTTATTGTTTTATATTGTATTACTGTTTTGGTGGCAGCACCAATAAAGTATTTGGCTTTCCTAGCTGTCTCCATATTCATGTACATTTTTGTTGTTTTCTATTGTAAATGTTTCTCTTTAAGTTGTGCGCTATGTTTTGTATTTGATATGCTTGTTATGATGTTTTTATGATGAATGAAATAATGATCAATTCAATTCAATTCAATTCAACTGAGAATTGCCTATTGCATGTAAAATGCCAGTTTTGTGTCTTAATTTTCCTGTTATCCGCCAAAAAAAGGTCAAATATGAAATGTTATTCTCATCACTGTTGTTCCATTTATTATATCTGGAACTCAAATTTGCACAGATATCGACGAGTGTGCTCTTGAGCCTTGTATGCATGGAGGAACTTGTACTGACGGAGTGAACAGCTATACTTGTGCCTGTGTACTGGGCTATACTGGAAGTAGTTGCGAAACAGGTGAGACATACAGTCAAAGCAAATGACATACTTTCATACATACACTTTTTATGTAAAGCAATTGCATCTAGCTCATCAAGACATTGTAGATAAAATCGAACAAGGAAATAAAAAGTAAGAAAGCTTTAGTCATTGGTGAGGAAATTATTGGAAGTTTTTTCTTAATTCAGAGTCTTCTAGAGTGAAAGAAGAAACAAAAGATATTAGGGTGTCCCACCTGTTGGTGCAGTAATAAGAGAAACTACACTCTTAATCATCTCAAGTAGACACATGGAAAAAGGGAGTGCATGATACTTTCAAGAACAGATTTGAAATTGTAATTTAGCTACTCTCTTTTTTTCGAGTAGACATATGGATGGTAGGAGTGCATGATCATTAAAAAAAAAAAGCATTTTTATTGTGATTCCCACAAGGATCTCTATTAATAAGACAACATTCAGCGTACAATAAGAGTAGCATATTTCATCCTTATCATACAGATTCAACTGTTGGACCCTCGGTGTCTTCAAACTAAGACCATCCATAGGACGATTTTTCATCTCGAAATGAAGGATTTTTTTTTATCTCTTTTCCCCTTTTTTTTTTTGTTCGGGGGCACATGGAGCTTCATTTAAAAATATTGTATCAGAAATATGTTTGCTATTTAAGGCTAGAATAATGGAAAGAATTCGAAAATCAAAAAAAAATAATATTTAGTTAATTCATTTCATTTAATATATCTATTAATGGGTTTTTATGTATAAAATAACAAATTCCTCAACTGTCATTAATTTGAATTTCGAATATCAGTTTTGACATCATGTTTCTGTCATCCGCCAAATAAAGAAAAATATGTCAAAAAGGAAATTATTTTTCTTACCCCTTTTTATCCCATTCATTGTCTGTTGAACTTAATTTGCCCTGATATCGACGAATGTGATAGAGATCCTTGTATGAATGAAGGAAGTTGCGCTGATTTATTTAACTCCTTTACTTTCTACTTTCTGTTATCCGCACCAAAATATTGTCTAAATGAACATTGTTTTTTCGTAACTTGTATACATGTCTTTGTCTTTGGATCTCATTTTACACAGATATTGATGAATGTGCTAGCAATCCATGTATGAATGGAGGAAGTTGCGCTGATGAAGTCAACTACTTCACTTGTGCTTGTGTTAATGGCTCTATTGGGACTTTGTGTGGAACAAGTAAGTTTTAAAATCGAATCAGATTAAATCCCGATCTAAATACACTTTTTTTAGTAATGCTTTACCTCCTTGCTCATCTAAAAGTTATAGATAAAGGTTAAAGAAAGACAAAAAAACATCAAGTAATTGCAGAGAATTTTTTTTGAAAATGTTCTTGATTCAAAATCAACAGAACTGAACTGAATCGTTGTTATATATTTTTGAGCAGTAATGAGAGAAACTACTCTTCTTTTGATTATATTGAGAAAAAAACCCTGATTATCATGATGTTTTTTAATATGCAGATACCGTTACGTTATTCAGTTGTCGATGTGTATGCATATGCCAGTTAATGTAAAAACCAGCAGAGCACTATGGGTCTTTAAAAGACGACATCTTGTGATGGTCGCCTGTTCTTTTGGTGCGCCAGAATGCCTCTTTTGGTGGGAAGTTCATTATCATTTCGACAGTATATACTGCCAAGAAATCAATATGATTAGACTACGGTCTCTTATACGATCCCAAGCTGGATATGCTTGCCGCATTTTGTATTATTTTCTCAGCTTTCCATTAATTCAATTTCTCACTGCTAACCTTGGATGCGATAGTTTAAGGTGAGCGATGAAAGTAAACTTTAGTTTCAGCGTAGGGGTGCCAAGTCCAGACTCAAGAGAGTATGCAATGTGGCAGAGCTATTGTTTTCTGAGGTAGGGCGGAGGCACAGAATTTATTCGAGAGGTATCAGCAGGCATACCAAGAAGTGCAATATGATCATGACAAGTTTACCAGGACCATCCAAAACGAGGCAGAGTATGATAAAGAAGACGTCTGGATGGAAGGTGTTCATAATGATTTACTGAAGTTACAGTTCATGGTCATTGACTGTGTCAAGCTTGTCAGGTCCTACATGAGAATTTTTATTTATATTTATTTTTATTGAAATATATACCATCTGATGGATGTGATGGTTATTTTACTGACTGCTAAGAAAGCATTAATGCTTGTAAGAAAGCAACCAGACGGCCGACGGCTTAAGGTCTTCTCCGAGCGACCTGGTAGTGAGGATTAATGCCTTACCAAAGGGCAATAGCGCATCGCCTTGGTTTCAAACCCGGGTCACCGGATTACGCGACCACTGCTCTACCGATTGAGCTATCGCGCCTCCTCAGACCACAGGGGATTTTCGAGGTCGGATAATCTGATTATGATGTTCTCCCATCGATTTTTTTTTTACCGTCCTATTCTAAAGCTTAGGGCAAGTGGCAGAAAGAGCGGTTAATGTATAGCCTTTACCACAAGTCTTGTTCCTTTATTTCTGAACCCAGCTAAGCTCGGGTAGGTGAAATTCGGTATGGCCGTCATCTTGATTAGAAGTTATTGTATTTTTAAAAAACAGATACGAATACCATGATGCTATCATGGTATACGAATACTATGATGCGCGAAAAAAAATATTTTTAGCTGCATACAACTCACTTTCATCATCCACTGCACATAATGAATAAGCACACATCTTTCAAGTCAAGTTTCGAAAAGATGTCCTCTCTTTCGTCAATGTGATAAAACAGCTAGGCAATCTTTTCCTTTCAAGAGGTCTGCATAGTACTTAGCGCACATGATGTAATGGAAGAGGAGGTTGCTGCCTCTCTGTCCCAAATCCATGACATTGACACATCTCACCCAACTGCACACGTCAATAAACGGTTATTAGGGCATCGATCTCAATTTAGCTATGGTCATAACCAAAAAAAGGAGCCTGGTCGGCGGCCGGGTAGCGAGTTTTTAGCCAATTTCGCCCGGGTACCGAGCGGCGGCCGTCCGGGCACCGCTTGTTTTGGCGCGGAGTTAAAATCCGGCGGCCCCTGCTCACTTTTCAATCGCCACCCAAAATACGCTCGGTGCCCGGGCTTTCGCCGCCCGGGCACCGTTCTGAATCGAAGCCGCTATGTCAAAGGCTGCCGAGTGGTCGCCGCCCGGTCGCCGCTGTGAGATCAGTCGGTCACTGGAGTTAAACATCGGTCGGCAGCCTTTGACCTAGGGGCTTGGATTTTTGACCTAAATCGCTCGAAAGCGATCTCTTGTTTAGGTCGATGCCCGGGCGGCGATCGCCCGGGCACATTTCTTTAAAATCAGCCGGTGGCCGGTGGGAGACCGCTAGGGAATCGGTGAGTCATCAGTCGGTCAATCCTGGACGCCGCCCGGAGAAGCTCCCAAATTTCGCCCTGTTTTGACCTAAAAATCGACCGGAGACCGACGGGAAATTGACAGGGCACAACCACCCAGGCATCGCCATGGATCTACAGCCTGCTCGACTTCTCCAAAAATCGTTTGACGATGCCTTTATAGCTATGGTCACAAACCCCAAAAGTAGCCTGCTCGGCGGTCGGGCGGCTAGTTTTTAGCCAATTTCGCTCGGGCACCGAGGGGCGGTCGCTCGGGCACCGCTTGTTTTTAGGGTATCGCTCGGTCGCCGCTGAACTTTTAGCGCGGAGTTAACATTTGGCGGCGCCTGCTCTCTTTTCACTGGCCGCCAAAAATACGCTCGGTGCCTGGGTGGTGGCCGCCCAGGCATCGACTTAGTCGAGTGTTCGCCGTCAAGCGATTTAGATAAAATATTGACGCCGCTTGCTCAAAAGGAGGCTGCCGAGCGGTCGCCACCCAATCGCGGCCCAGTCGTCGCTGGGAGATCATTAAGTCACTGGGCGGCGAGTTCAAAACCGGTAAGCAGCTTTTGATCTCGCAACGAACGGCCAGGCATCGAGCGTATGTTAGTGCCCCGCCGCGCACCAACCGGCCGCCGAGCATTTTTATTTTTAATCAGCCAGTGGCCGGTGGGAGGCCGCTAGGGAATCGGTGGGTCCCCGATTTCGCTCAGTTTTTGCCTAAATTAGACGGGGAAATCAAAAGGGCACAGCCCAGGCATACCTGGGGCTCTACTTCTCTAAAAATCGTTGGGCGATGCCTAAATTCCAGCAGCGAACGAGCAGGCTACCAATCGGTCGGTCGCCGCTCTGAGTTGTGATTATAGTTTTTTTTTTTTTTTTTTTTTTTTTTTTTTTTTTTTTTTTACTAATACCAGTGGCAGATCCAGGGGGCGTGGACCAAGGCGCCCCCCCCCCCTGGGAAGAAAAAGGTGTAAAAACACGTTAATTTTACTGCTCCTGTCACTACATTGACCCTATTGAAGATGACGTTCTACCCACTTCTATCCTAGGCATAGCAATTAGCTGTGCAAATGTCGAGCCATCGGACTTTTGGCCTACCACGTTTTCATTGACCCTCAACATGACCTTGGGTAATAACCTTCTCTCCTAGAAATGTGTCCAAAATGCTGCAGCTTGTTCTTTTGTATTTTCTGGCAGCGGATGACTTTCGCTCCAAATTGGTTCTTGACAAAATCATTTGATTTATGAGCTTTCGCTATATAATATCCTCAACATCCTCCCCGTACACCAAATTTCGAAAGCGAGGATTATCTTTCCATCTGCTGCTCCAAGAACCCAGGTCTCTGACCCATACGATAGGGACTTTTAGATTTGCACGTCGACAGCTTTGACTGCAACGTGTGACGTCATTTTCCTAAATCTAGTACATACATACATATTGGTAGTCATGTAGCGCCTTTACATGCTCAATGTACTCAGTTAGAGAAGATTTCCATCACTTCAATTACTCTTGCTGGACATGAAATTACCCTATCTAATATATGTCGCAACCCTGGTGTGTTTCTCGACTCAAACATGACAATGTATACACAAATTCAATATGTCTCAAAATCAGTACGTTATCAGTTACGCAATTTGGGTTTTATTCGTAAATATCTTAACCGTAGTGCCACTGAGAAAATTACTCATGCTTTAATTTCTTCTCGCTTGGATTTTGGTAATGGCCTTTTGTTTAGTTCGCCTCACAACCTACTTGCAAAATTACAAATATTACAGAATGCTGCTGCTCGTGTCGTGACCCTGTCCAACAAGTACAGTCACATCACACCAGTCCTCAAATCACTCCATTGGTTGCCCGTAGACAAACGTGTTATTTTCAAGATTATTTTGCTATTATTTCACTGTATACATGGCTCTGCTCCGCAGTATAACATCGGCTTGATTAGGCATTACTTTCCTTAAAGACAGCTACGTTCTCAAAACTCTGGCTTACTTGTTACTCCTAGGGTGAAAACAAAGTGGGGAGCGAACCTTCGCTCATGCTGGGCCTTCATTATGGAATACTCTCCCTCAATGGATTAAGAATAGCAGTTCTGCTGAAGTGTTAAAAACAATCTTAAGAAATATCTGTTTAATTTAGCTTATAATTGATTACCGTAACCTTTCATGTCTGTACCTTTCCTATCGCACTTTGTAAAATGTATCATGTATGTATTTCATCTCTTGCACAAGCTGCGCGCTTTGAGCATTTGACTGTCAAGTGGATTTGGCGCCTTATAAATCATATGTATTATTATTATTATTATGCCGCGTGCGCATAAAATATACAGTTCCTCAGTTAGACAAAGGAACATCCCTTCCCTGCTGTTATGTAAAAATGTGTAGAACAGGTGTCACATGCATATTCACCTGTTCTACACATTTTTACATAATATCAGTGAAGGGATGTTCTTTTGTTGAGGGTAGAATGAGGAACTGTATATTGTGTCCTCTTTCTTTATCCGTGATGTTCATAGTGTTACTTCCTGCATGCATGTATATCGTCGTGTGCAATCTAAAACATTTCTAATTGTAGTCAACATGGGCAGTTAAGTACGTTGACACGCATGATCAGTCGGCGTTCGTCGTGTTCTCGTCCACTCAATCTAAAAGTCCCTAATGTAACGATTGGAAAGACCAAAGCATTAATCAGACAATGTATATTTATATATATATATATACGAAGAGATTAATTCAAAAAAGAGCTAAATTCACTTTTGATGAAAATTGAGTTATTAATATCAGAACATTGTTTACTTCAGAGCCCGTCTTTCAAAAAAAGTGTATACCTAAATTTTGCGAACAATAATGACAAAATGCACCTTCTAATATCACTTTTCCATAGATGCCTGTACTAAATATGGTAAACAAATTCCACAAATTTCTCTGAAGTTACAACAGTGGATTTAGCTCCTTTTGGAAATAAAAAGTGACGTAAACCGCCGCAAAGAAAGGCGGCTAAATTTATTGTTTAATGTAAAGGAATGGCAACTGCGGGCAACGCAATGTGATGCGTATTACACTTTACATCATCATGTAAATACAAATGATACAGTTTTGCCGCTATTTTAGACATTACCAATAGTCTTGCAATTAGGGGACGCACGGCCAGCGCATTGGAAATTTGCAATTTTGGCAGTGCGTTGTCGTTTGCTAGGTGTGCGTCATCATTCGTTATTCGTTCGTCGAGCGCGCTGGACCAACGCTATGCATTCGTCGGCATTCGCTGTGTGCGTCAGAATTGTTTAAGCATGCTCAAAAGTGTGGGCGGAGCTCGACGCATGAATGAACACGCCAAAAGCACGCCAAACATGCGCGGAGCGTGCTAGACCAACGCCAGACATATGTGGAGCACACGTCCTGTATACGCGCAGTGCGCTAGCAACACACTATGCATTCGGTGTCAACTGGCTACCTTCTCCCAAATCCTGACAAAAGTCTGGCGTCTATGTGTGACCGGGCCATTAAACAAAGGCAGCGAAATTGTCATTTGTTTTGTTTACATAGTGTTCATTATACTCCATAAACGACTTTCCTTCAACGTTTAATTTGAGGCACTAAAATGTAAAGCTTACTCTTTCTTTAACTTTTGGGCACCAACCCCCAGTCAATAAATGTATCAGAGTATTCTTGTTACGTGACATGACTATGACATCTAAATCACCCATGTACATGACCAGATATTCTCCACATTTATTTTCTGTTTAGCTGAGTGTGGCGATGGAACTGTTTGTCATAATGGCGGATCATGCACAAACCCCGGACCGTGTGATTGTGTAACCGGTTTTAACGGTACTATGTGCGAGACTGGTAAGTACCCCCCCCCCCCCCCCCCCCCAAGAAAGAAGGAAGTAAAAAAAAATATATAACATTAGTGAGTGTGGCGATGGAAATGTTTGTCATAAGGGTGGATCATGCACAAACCCCGGACCGTGTGATTGTGTAACCGGTTTTAAAGGTACTATGTGCGAGACTGGTAAGTACCCCCCCCCCCCCCCCGAAAGAAGGAAGTAAAAATAAATAACATTAGTGAACAAATGTTGATTTCTCGTAAGTTAAGGAGTTTACAGTAAATATATATATATATTTATATATTGTTGTGTTATTGTTAATTATTGAATTAGAGATGTAGGTATTAACATTGCTTCAATCATTTGAATTTAAATCTTTAAAGAATAGATTATAATGATAAACCAGTTAAGTAGGCTATTAGCTGAGTTCTGATTGGGTTTCATTTCTTAAAGAGTAATATGGCTTTCACTTTCTGGTTGATTGAAAACAAACAGTGATTTGCATAACTTGGAAAATCATGGAATTTTTGTTTTGGGGGGAGTAACATTTTGGCGTTTGCATTGTTAATGTATGTCTTCATTTTATCTTTCTGCTACACAAATTTGTTGTATCAATTACTTTGTGTATGGGCTTAGATCATATTTTTGTTTAATTGGCCATTAAGCTAGAAATTTTAATTGATAAATGATTACTATTTTTAAACCGATACAGATATTGATTACTGTTCTACTACTCCCTGTATGAATGGTGGAATTTGTATTGATGAAGTGAACAACTTCACTTGTAACTGTGCTGCTGGATATAAAGGAGATACATGTCAAACAGGTTTGTCACCAAGTTGAATTTGTCTTCAGTATTTTTATTCCAGAACATTATTTTGGATGAAGATTGTGGACCTTTTTCATGATACATACTACATTTTCAAGTTGGTGTTTTAAACCAATATATATACAGTGCGTTCCAGAAAAAAACGAAACCGAAACCGATGTTTTATCATAACTTAGTCACATTTATAATAACTAAATGACACATATTTGGAAAGCTTATATCATCCTCTTTCATTTGATGCAACTCATATGATGCATATTTCAAGGAGAAACACACTACGATTTTTGAGACAATGCTCCTTGCTCATCAAGAAATTATAGATAAAGAGCTAACTAGGAAATCAAAGGTGCTAAACATGTAGTCATTGGAAGGGAAGATCTTTGAAGTTGTTTTCCTAATTCAGAGTCAACAGAAATGTAAGAACAAACAAACGGTTCGAGGGTGCTCCAGGCTTTAGTTCAGTATTGATAAAAACTACACACCTTTTGATTTCGAGTAGACCCTTGCAACATGGCAGTACATATTAAAGTAGATATGGAGCTGTTTTCCTTCTACTGTCTATACCCTTTCAATAAAATAACGATGAAATAATTTGATAAGTTATCAGAACTAATGTGAACTATTGATATATATCTTTGAAATGAACAGTTCTGTGCGATCTATCGAATTGCCAAAATGGTGGGACATGTACCCCTTTTGGACAGCCTTGTAATTGCCCACCTGGTTTTACGGGAGACCTTTGCGAGAATGGTAAGTTGTGTCATGTGTTTATCAATGGTTAATCCTCAAAGAATGTTGGTTCAGACAAAAGTTCGATGATTATAATGATAATAACAAACTTTTAATCCAATATATTTTGTTATGTTTTTTTTTTTTTTTTTTTTTGGGGGGGGGGGGTATGCTCCCTTTTACTACTTCTCCCTGGACATATGCAATTATGACAAAACAAGACCAGAAAAATATACATGTACGCGAAATCATTTATGACTGTGCAAAGAAAAGAGAGTTACCTTACATCTTTCTCTTGTTTAACTGTAATTGTAATCATATATATTTTTTTCTTCAGCTCCTCAAGGATTGTCAAATGGAGCCATCATTGTTCTTGCTTTGGGAATATTCGGTTTTGTTCTCGTCTTTTTAAGCTTGGTTTGCTTCGTTTTCGTTCAAGGTTTTAGACGAAATCAAGCAATGAAACCAATGCTCGCGTGAGTATTACGATAAAATTACAATTGAGCAAGTCCAACCTATTATTTCCCATAATGTACTGACCACATCTATGATTGCACTCCTTAATAAGGACAATCACTCCCCGCAAATTAACCCCAAGGAAAGCCACCCGCGAGGACAATTACCAACGGAAAATTACCCCCCCCCCCCTCCACCCCCGCGGACAATAACTCTCAAAGGACAAATATTTCCCCACTCCTGAAACTTACCCTCTCGGACAAGTACACCTCCCCCTGTTCATTAAAGGAAAAGTTCACCCTGAAGATAAGTTGGTTATATAACGATAATCAGCCGGGGGGTACTGCCCAGGGGAATATTTTCCAAGAATCAATTTCATTATATACGACAACTGTACCAAGATGATAGCTCTACTAGTAGGTATAGCACACCAAAAATAAGTACAACAAACACATGTTATTTGATGATTGCAAATGATCAAGCTTCCTGAAAGCTTAAAAAAACAAAAAACAGAATTGAAATTGGTCAATGCGTTGTGATTTTATACCATTTTTTTGATATCGCCTAATTACCGAAAAACCTGCCAGAAATGGTCAAATTGGCAAAAATGGCAAAATTCGACAAAGTTGACACCTTAATTCATCACTTTCCTGGACACAAATAATAAATTAAATTATCAGACACTAAAATATCATCTTTGTGGTGAAAAATACAAAAAAGAAAATTCATATATCTATTACCGTTTTAAAAACAGAAGCAAACAAAATAAGTCATTTTGCCATTTTTGCGAATCTGCAGATATGAAAAAGTTGTGAAAATAACTAAGTCCGTCTAATTAATATGCGCATATGAAATCAAATCAAAACCGAACATGATACATCAATGAAACCTATGTATATCAGACAGGTATGGAAATATATTTTTTTTGAAGAAAACAAAATTATGAATATTCATCAAATATGCAAATTAGGTCATTTCAGCTAATTGTATAATAGGAAATTCAAACTATTCATTTTGTTGGCATTTTTTAAAATCATATATTTATAGATCATACTTACACCAAAAATTAACATTAAATTCAACATCAAACATATGGGGATATTGCATTTTTGTAGAGAAGTTTTGTACATTGAGGTGCATTTTCACCACGCAGAATAACAGTCAATGGGCGATCAGCGGGTCATGTCACACATGGCTGAAAAGACAATATTCTGATTAATAATTTAACATATTTCCCACATGCCTTTAACAATGAAACTACACAGAATTGTAATTAAAGGTATGATTGAAAGATATGTGAAATAAAATTTTTAAAATATTGTTCAGTTTTGTTTTAAATAAATCTACGAAAATTGCTATTTCTACCAACTGACTGCTGTTGTGTGTGTGTGTGTGTGTGTGTGTGTGTGTGTATGTGCATGGGGCAGACTGTGTGCACAGGCAGTATGATCACCCTACTACTAGACCTTGGATCAGACTAAACATAACATTAAATGGTACTTTTATGTTGACAATTCCATGGTGACCATGCAATAATACAATTCAGTAATACTTGGTAAATGGTGGGGCATACATGTATTTTGGACCTGCCTAACGAGTGCCAAGGGGTATCTTGCCGAGTGGTATTTTATCACGGTGTATGCATGATTGTTAGACATTATGCATAGAATTCGAGGACGTTCCCAGATAAGTCATTGTTCGTTTACATCCCCAGAATAATATTCGAGGAAAAAAAAGCTGTCTTTATGAAAGAACAAGAACATTGCAAGAAAAAGGTTCATATTTTCATGATGTTTGCAAACATGATAATGTTTAAGTGTATGTTCATGTGTTAACAAAAAAGTGGAATTGTTTGTATAAAGTGGACTCGATAATAAAAATGAAAGGATGGCACCTTCATTTAGGCAAAAACGATCAACTTCAAGTACATTTTGTTTTACTCCTCTAAGAATCATGCATTGCACCTTGGAATACGAAAAGACACAACTTTCTTACCCTCTATCTCTTTATTTATCTATTTATCTAGTATCTACCTACTTATATTTTTCTCTCCATATCTACCTACCTACATGCTATCTATCATTCTATTTATATACCTATACTGATAATAATGATATTGTTTATCCTGGGAAGCTGTTCTTCCTGAGGGCCTGCAATTATTATGAACCCGTCTTTATAGCTCCATTTCTACCAATCTATATATCTATCTTCCAATCTGTGCAAACCGATTTTTTTCTTCTTTCCCTCTCTCTCTCTACCTCTACATAATTATCTGTGTACCTATATAGCTACTTACCTTTGTATCTACATAAATATATACATCGTATCAGGGCAATTACCCCTTGGAAAACCCCCCTCCCCGGAAAACTTACCCCAGTGACAATAGTCCCCCGGAATATTACCACCGAGGACAACCCCCCCCCCCCCTCGGAATACCGTCTTGTTCATTAAAGGGGAAATCCACCCTTATAATAAGTTCTTAATGCAAGGACATTTTTTTGATCGGGGGTAAATTGTCCTCTAGGGAGGGGGTGATTGTCTAAAGAGGGTTATTTTCGAGGGGGTAATTGTCCTCAGGTGGTAATTGTCCACGGGGGTTCCTAGGGGGTAATTTTGCAGGGCTGGTTGTCCTCGGGGCGATTGTCCTGGGGGGGGGGGGGGTAATTGACCGGGGGTGATTGACCAGGAGGTAATTGTCCTAGAACCAAATGCATCCTTATACATATGTCTATCTACGTATCTATCAATCCAGCTGCCTATCTATCTATCAAACTGTCTACCTCTATATATGTAACTATAGATCTGTGTCTCTTTCTCTTTGCCTTTATCTACCTACTCATATATATATATCTATATATATCTAACAATCCATATACCTATCTATCAAACTGTTTACCTGTATTTAACTACAGATCTCTGTCCCTTTCTCTCTCTCTCTCTCTCTCTCTATAAACATATACTGTATATATATATATATATATATATCTACCTTCTCAAACTTTATAAGCATTAATCTGTCTTCATGTATTTATCTACATATATTTCTTTATACATATATATACATACATACATTACATATATATATATATATAGAGAGAGAGATAGACATAGATAGAGAGAGGGAGAGAGAGAAAGAGCTTTTAATTGTTGTATACATGGATACCTCTTTCATGTGAACTAGTTTTGGTTTTGGTTTTTATTTCGACTTGATATTTCGGTGATATGATATCCTTTGTATCGGCTGATTTGTAATCATTAGGTTAAGTCTGAGATGAAGTGACCTTCATTGACCCGTCACAGTTTGTACTCATGGTCGCCTAGTTGTTTCAGCATTTTTTTTACATTTTGTGAAGATATTGTTCATAGTTCTTAAATGTAACACAATATATAACAATTTTATTTTTTCTTCTTCAGTGAGGCGCAGTATGACTATTCAATTTGCCGAAACAGAGGTGTCTACGTAAACGAATCTTTGAAGGGTTCTAGGGACTACGAGTCCATTCAAGAACGCCGGTATGCTGTTGGCCAAGCATTGGATCGACTGAGAGAAACTAATGCTCTGGTATAAACAGTTTCCTTTTCGATGAGTCTAACTTGTTATATACCACATAAATAATCTCCCTGTTTGATATGTCATTTATCATGTAATAGATAAACCAAAAGCTTTCAATAATATACCAAAATATGAACAATATGCAGGATTCAAACACCAGCACTTCGCTATCTTTCTCTTATAGTACAAAGTGTTGTGTACAAAAGTTTTTGAAAATTCATTAACATTTTTAACGTCACCATCTTCTTTATATTCAATAGTTCTGTTATTCATAAACCCATATAATGCCATAGAATGCCCTTTTCGGTTTTTCAAGGTTGGTTTTATACTTTCTAGCAGTACATAATGTTTTCGTTTAGGTAATTGGTTCACGTTAATATAATTTGATATGTATTTTCTTTCAAACTTTGATTTTTCTTTTCATCAATTTCTTTTCATTACAGAACAACAGTGTGGATCAATTTCTAGTCCATTATTGATCACCAAGAAATAACCTACGGATTAAGAAGGAATATGACAACGGAATTCGGATGAAAAGAATATAGTGAATTAGTGGAATACTTATAATAGAACGATTGGTTCTCTGTTAAATAGGCTAACGGTTGACTGATTGAATTGATGTAATCATGCTAAAACTCACATCAGCTAGTCTATGTTAGAAACATATAACTAATGAAATAAAAATCAATTTAAATATAAATACCTAAATAAATTTAATATAATTTACTGTATCTGTGAGTGTATAATAGCTGCAATATTAATCTAAAAAGCGTTCTATATCATCATTCATATATTATTCATCAAGTAACTGATATTCATTTTCTCCAAATATATGGAAACACATGATCCATAAACTATAATCTAAAGATCTGATTTCTACATCATGCTTTTAGTGCAGCCAAATTTCTAGTGTTTGGAATAGTACAAATCTAGTTTTATATAGTTAAAGTTCAAATGCTTATGTTAATGGGAAGTATAACACCCCTTTCTTTCTCTCTTTCTTTCTCTTTCTCTCTCTCTTTATGTATATATATATATATATATACATATATATTAGATGAGTACACTTTTTAATGGATCTTTTTTGTGTGGAATATATGGGCATTGCATTTGAAAAAAAGTTATCAAATACACAACATGATGTGGTCATATGGGGTAAATCCACCGCGCTAAAACAATACAACCAGTATCTTTGAATCTTGCATTTATGAAAATAAAAATAAGAATGTTTACCTTTGGCACTTTTACCTCAAACATTTTTGCCAGGCACTAAAATAACCCACTTCCCCCACCCCTCCCTCTCCCTTTCCTCCACCACCATCACCACCACCACCAGGAAAAAAGCAATTAAAGGATTTTATAACAAGGATTTTTTTTCTTCTGCTTATTAATAAACGGATATGATTAGTATATGAGAATTAAAGGAAGTGTAAACACTACTTGTTTTGTAACATTCCGCTAAAATAGTGACGCCAAAATGACTTGGGTTGGCAACAAACGAAAAAAGTGTACGTCTGATGTATTAAAACAAGGCAGGCATCACATTTGTGTCATTGCCATTTGAAAATATGAACAAAACTATTTTCCTAACATGTTATATATATTTTGTTTATTTTATATATCTTCATTTTCCTCCAAAGCAATTCATTATACAGTACTAGTGTTATACCTCATAAGTCTTTCATTATTTTAAGAAGGCTTCATGTTTTTATATATAATCTTGTTGATATGATATATTTTTTTACATAGGATCACGAAACACTGAAATAAATATTCCAATAGGGAAGACCACTGCATACTTAATTGAGTCAATGTGTAATTCATGAAGTATATTTCATTATCATCAACATCATCATCATCGTCATCATTTGTTATTGTTTATCGTTTACTTAGTATCATTAGTATCACATTATTGTTATCAAAATTATTCTTATTTTTTTGTTCAAGATCATTGTTAAAGGTACTCTGTCTCATTTGCAGGCCCGAAAAAATGAAAAAGTTACTTTCCAACTACATTTGGAGAAAAAAAACTTCGAAAAGATTTCGAACTTCCCTCAAAACGACAGGGCTTGAAAATGACTGTTAGTGGGAAAATAACGACCATTAGTTGTCGAATCGACTTAAGTGATTGCAGTCACCTAAGTAATAGTCTGATTTTAAGACCCTTTTACCGAATGGTTGTACGTTTTGTACTGCACACAGATTCAATCAGTTTAATTTTGGCCATTACAAGAAGTGGGTTATTGATGTAGACAACTGATCATGTACCTGTTACAGCTCATGTTGTGTATGTTATTAACAAAGAAAAAAAGATGTCAGTCATTCAATAGTGACTGATGGCGAAGTCTAGACGGTAAACGGGTTTCTTGCATAATTTGAATACCAGGAAACTGCTGATGCTTGAATTTCACAGATAGGACATGGCATATTCATAATTCCTGCAAAGTTCTACAGAATTCGATGTTGGCTGCAAAAGGACATGTATCTTTAAGAGAGTAATCGTTGTGTACGTGTGTGTGTATGTATGATTCGTGCGTGCGTGGGTGGATAGGTGGGTGGCGAGGACAATCTTAGAACTGTACCTTCACTTTTATAACCACGCGCGAAACGAGGATGTCATCGATTCCAGAACCAGACAATTGTTTTAAAATCGGAGTCCCTTTTATAGGGGTTTATTTAGGTTCTCTATTTGCATGGAAAAGGTCGATCCTCGGTTATGCAGTACATTTACAGAACTTTCTAGGGATGTTATATTCTTAGGAACAAGTGTATTTTCGAACATATAGGCCCGAATTCACAAAGGAAGTTTGTCGACAAACCTTGGTTTTGTGTGTGTCATGATGCGTTTCGACGCGTTTTTACAAACCAGGTTTGTAAAAAAAATGCGTAAAAACGTGTCATATGACAAACCTCCTTTGTGAGTTCAGGCCATAGTGTAATGGGATACCGACGTGTACCATCGAGTCATCGATTTACACCAGAAACGCGCATGAGCGTAAACATGCGAAGACATGGGCGCTCTAGCCATTATCAACTTAACACCGAGCGACCCCGCCTTTGGGCTTTCGTCTTACCGTTTGCACATCATCGAATTGTTGTTTATCTATGCTGCACATTTATATGGCTACGATGCTGACTAGTCTTGACGAAATGCACCGTATATTTGTATGAGGTCGAGGAAAATGAACATGGGCACATGCACAGGTATATGAAAAAAGGCCCCGGGCCCCGGGTTTATAGGGTTAAATTTGTAGACATTGGTACATTGGCATTAAAGGGACAGTTGGGTTCTAATGCAGAGGGCGCTACACAAAATAATTTGTTGTGAGATAATGCAAAACTCAGTGTCAAATTTGAAAGAGCATACAATTTAAATGACAAAGTCATCTTTGGATGATCAAAATCGGTTTAGAGACGTCTGAAATATCCATACAAATAACGATTTCTAATACTTGTGTACCACCAAAAATATTAGATCATTTGAAAAAGCCGTTGAAAAAACGAAGTAGCGCCTTTCCAGTTTCAGTTTTATTTTTCATTTCCAATAGATCAGTAATTATGACAAGAAATCAGATATACAATTTGCCATTCAATAATATAATACATTTTACATGGTTTAAAGTTGTGAAATAGAAATTATACATAATTATCCAGTATAATAGTTTTTAATTTATTTTTTAAAGATAAACCTGTGGAAATGGAGGAATTCACTGAAAACAGGGGGGTGTTTCCCTAACACTAACAATAACCTCCATGACAGAATAATAGCGTTTTATTTCTTCTCTTTTCTTCTGCAAGATTCTAAAATTCTGTTTAAAATAGAAAATCTTGGAAGTATCATTAAAACGTTTACTTCCTTTAAAATATTTTATGTTAACATTTTATCAAACCCAAAACCTCAAACTCGATGGCAAAATGTTAGTACCTTGACTAGAGCATTTTTAATAGCTTATAGGAATTAATTTGTAAATCTTATTTTACAAGTAGTGTTGGTTGTAAAAAGTGACCAGTCCATGATACCAAGATCTGTATCTCATTGTGGTTCCTCTTGCTTAAAGCTGGAAAAGGGAGCTTCTATCTGTAGGCTGGCTGATGTTTCATGAGAAGCATAACGTTGCAGGTAATTCAGGCTCTGCAGTCTAGAATAGGAATTGAAAGTTATGAAATAAATGAATCAATTACTACATACTAGTACAATTTTTCAATCTATCTTCAACTTTTGTATTTATGATTATTTCAAATACTTTAATTGCTAAATAAAAAAAAGTAGGAGAATAAAAAATAGTTACAGGAGATAAATGATTAATTGTTTGCTTTGGATTAAAAAAAAAATCCTTTCATTACCATTTGTATATTTTTTATTAAACAGAATGGGTAAGATGGGTATTAGACTTCTTACAAGGATTATGAAAAATTATAGATCAATTTTGGTAATTGATACTGCTTACCTTTTCAATTTGAAGAGATGGACAATAAATGTTCATTTGTCATGAACTAGCAGTACATGCAGATGCCATAGCTCTTTATTTTGCAACCTAGGATTTAAAACAGAGATACATATATTTGTTATGAAGAGAGCACATCTATTTTTCAGAAAAGTAATTCTCACTGTATCAAATGTGTTCAAAAGAACATAAGTGACCCGGCACCACAAAACCACCAAAAAGTCGCAAAAAATTATTTTCCTGATTTCATCTGATTATGAAAGAAGAAGTTCTCCTCATTAAAATGGTATATTACTTGTCCAAATTGAAGCTTCCTAACCCTTTCAATTTAGTGAATGAAAAGAGCTGGTGAGGGAGGTTACTGGTATTAAATTGTGAGAAAGAGAGCTTTAAAGTTTGGGGCTATTCAAGCATGCGGAGCAAGCAAACCACAGGGAAATCAATAGAAGGGTGAATCAAAAGGCCATAGCAACCACTATGAAGACATTTTCAGATTAGGCTGAAATTTGGCCTGATGGTCAAACATAGTCTGTTCATTATGTTTCTGAGGTTTCAATGTGTGGACTTAAGTCTTTCAAAAGTTATTATGTTGTAAATGTATAGAGTTGTAATTGGACAGATTAAGTGAACTGCAACATAGTGCCGAGACACCTGCACTAGACAATGCCTATTCATGGTGGACCCGGAGTCTTTTTGTTCCCCCTTACATAACACTGCTTGTCACCTATCTTGTTTTGTATACATCTGGGCAATTATTTGTAACCACATTATGAACTTTCTTTATACTTAATTCCCATACTGTTTTCTTTCTCACAGGAGGTTCAAAGTATTTTTACTATGACTTGCTCTTTCATTTCCAGTAGCCATCCTGATGATAATTAATGGAAGCAATTCATAAATACCAGCCAGAAAGTGGTATAAAAAATAAAGAAAGGCAGGAGACACACAGTAAAGACACCAACATAGAATAACGAAAAATAGAAAGAATGAGAGAGAGAGACAGAGAGGGAAAAGAAGGGGGAGAATTATGATAGCTGTAAGCAAAATTATGATATCAAGAGTGTGAATGTGTGTTTACAATAAGAACTTGATTTCAAA